GAACATGGAATTCATCTTCAACATGGTTATGTCCCTTCGAAAAACAGGAAGTGCAGACACGTTCATTATATGGGATGTTGTTTTGACGCCCCAGTGGATACATTGTAAGGGCTTTGATTTCGGCGAAATCAAAGCCCTTACAATAAACCCCAAAGACTTCAAAATCAGAAAACACCCAACAAGCCATCATCAGACTCCAACCATCAATCAACCGTGATGAAGACTATTACATACCCCTTGTGTACCATCAACTCTCTCAAAGACCCTAATCAGTCAGAATCGTTTTGTTTATATACTACTGGTTTCACCTGTTAAGATGTTTACCTTACATCACCCTGTTTGTGTACATCACAGGTTTCTCCATTCCAGTGTAACTACATCACAATCTTTTCAACTGTTTAAACATTGCCTCATACCTGCATATGTGACTGTCAACCATACTCCATACTTCACTTGCTTGAGAACGGTGTTAGAACCTACACCGAAACGTTGCTCCTAACTGTAATTAAAAAGTTGTTCATCCATATATCTTATCCTTACTTTGTAGTCCAACTTGTAAATGTCTCCCTAAGAAGTTTTGAAATAAACTTGAAATTGCGAGAAAATAATCGAAGTAACGAGAAAAAACTCGAAATTACGAGTAAATAATTGAAGCAAGGAGAAAATCATCAAAGCATCGAGAGAAAAATCGAAATTTCGAGTTTTTGAAATACACTTGAAATAACAAGGAAATAATCGAAATTGCAAGAAAATACTCGAAGTAAACGAGTAAAAACTCGAAGCAACGATAAAATACTCGAAATAACGAGAATATAATCGAAGCAACGAGAAAAATATCGAATATACGAGTTTTTATAAAATTAAACTTGAAATAACGAGAAAATATTCGAAATTACGAGAAAAAACTCGAGGCAAGGAGAAAATATTTGAAATAACGAGAAATGATTTAAGCAACGAGAAAATAATCGAAGCAACGAGGAAATAATCGAAGCAACGAGAAAAAAATCATTATTGCGAGAAAATAATTTTAAAACCCCCAGAAATTTGATAACAATAAATACAGTGAGAGAGATAGACGGACATAGACAAGCATACAGACGGACAGAGTACGAGAAACAAACATAGAGCGAGAGAGACAGTGAGAGAGACTGTAGAGGGAAACGGACATATGACAGAGTGGGTATATGAATGAGGACGACTATATGTGTAGCTAGTAGCTTGCCTGTGAAGCATCGATGTAAAAACAAACGAGTTGATGTGTACAAAGCATTGATTTATTTAAACGAGATGAAATAATTTAAAGGAATGTACAAATAAATAATTTCATAGACGTGCACTGTGGCAATAAAATTCTAACATTCGTGTCTTCACTTAATGACGGTGACACGGATCATCTACAGAGATGAGTTGCGTTAAGCGGCACAGTGGTTGAGTTACATGACCAAGTGCCCGCTCAATGTCTAAGAAAAGCCCAGTGTGTCTCAGGTCGTAACAACTGAAAGACCAAGGTTGAGACTGGGAATCGAAACGACGATGCTGTTAGGGACTCAACTCTGCAGAGCGGTACAAACGCATCTCTGCACAGCCACTTGCAACTCCCTAAACGAGATTTCATTTCATATTATTTAATACAGTGAAACCTCGTTTGTCCGGAATCTCGGTCATCTGGGCAATTACTCACTAGAGTGACATTGCCACTACTTAAGACTGATAATGGTTCTGTACAAATTAATAGGGTTTTGTTGCATGTATATTGAAACGGTGAAACCGAAGACATTCTACATTGACACCTCAAGATTTAGAATATTAAGCTGTTACATTCAGTGGACAAGGATTTGATATTTTACCAATCAATACAATCCATTTAAACAGTGTCTTCAAGCCTTGCAGTAGGGTCGATACATCCTCGACAATCCAGGTTAATATATCTCCATTCTATTCTGATAAATACCCTGGACCCATCGCCACCATAGCCTTGTTTTGAATCCGGTTCGAATGACATGACCCCATAAATAGACGTCCAATCAAATTGTTAAATTGTTCTCACAGGGAAAATGCCTAATTCCCGATGACTGTGTTTTATGTTTCCCCTCATCTCGTTTATCTATGCAATAAAAAACACAGTGCACACGCAGTCTGCTCTTTTCACTGCAAATGTTTTCGCCCTCTCGCCAACACCATTATTTATCTCCGCAAACATCTATATAATTTTACGATAATCTCAACAAAGTAGTTTTTTGTTATATTGCAAATTTCACCTTTTAGTGACATCAAAGCTGCATTGTCGATTTTAAGGTATGTATATCAGCAGCCGAATGGTTTTTTTTAATTATTTCTTTTATTCAATTCAGTATATGATATTACAGAGTTACACATTGAGTAGCACGTCATGTAGTATACTTATTAGGTAAAATTTCCCTGACTTATATCAGAAGACATACCCACTATCAAAATTAATTCATATTAATTCATGTTTGAATAAATAAATAAATAACATTAACGATGACGTCACTTTAAGGCTGCTGACCAGAGAACCGCACCCCCGGGGTCATACCTCGGTCAACACAGACTCACCTGGGTTGTCCAGGGTTTTGAAATCGAACGATAACACTGCCAAGAGAGATGCAGCAAAAAAGTCACTATTTTTTAAGGTACGGTGACGAGGTGAGGTGAATTGGGGTTTAACGTCGAGTCCAAGATTATTGCACTTATATAGCGACGTGCATGTACGTGTGTGTGTTTGTGTGGCTGCTTGTACTCGTCCGGACTGATGCCGATTTATAGTGCTAGCTCACTGAGATACCATGCCGCAGTTTAACATGAATACCACACTCAGACACAGTATACTGACTCCGACCCGACCAGTCCTTGTTTTAGCCCCTTAATGCCGAGCGCCAGACAGGGTAACAACAAGTACCATCTTTTAACGTCTTTTGGTATGACGCGGTCGGGGATCGAACCCCGGACCTTCCGCTCTCCGGGCGGACGCTCTACCACTAGACCACGGAGGCGGTCGGTACGGTGACGAATAGGTCCAGGGTATATATGTGAATACTACAACAATGTGATCATAATCGGGGCGGACCGAGATTCGAACAACAAAAATAAGTTTTTGGATTTCTGCACTGCGAATTGCGGCGCCTTAGTCGACTGGGCCACCCTGCCCCCAGGAGGCATAATAACACTAGGTCACGGGGAGTCACGGGGAGTCTCGGGGAGTTAAAGACACAATTGGGCATTTGAGGGAAGGGGGTTTTGGGACTACGTCCCTTGTCTAGGACGAGGAATGATATGCACCGGTTTTCATACCCTGTTTAAGAAAGAGCCACGCGGTTCTGTAGATTACCCGGATGGAGCATTCAAATGAGGTCCTGTTGACACTTACAGTTCTTAAACATTGCTGTTTAAAAAGTGTTCCGAGTAAAACAATATTTTACAAAACAAGTTTATATAAGCAAACTGTAGGTTCGTATATCAGGCAGTATTTGGCTAAAATAATTGAAACTTAATTTAATATGACTGCCGCCGCTATATAAAATTGGATCCTCATTGATTTTTTAAGGGCGCCGTTGCATTGAACGTACACACACTGTCACCATCATGACTATCGCTACATATATAGAGAAAATGCAGTGTTAATTATTCAAGACCTGAAGACGGTAAAATATTTTGACAGAGGAAAAGAAAATAGTGCCAAGACACTGTAGCTCACCTGGATATGTAGTCAAATTCTAACACCTGAACAACATCTATTGTCAGTAATGATATTGAAATATTTTCCAATACTAAAAGCTAACACTAACATCTAACGAATGGAACAAAATGGGATGCTATCTTAAGGAGAAACATACATGTAAAGGTACAGCTCACTCTAGTCTGGCAATTTTGGATGAGAGGAAGTATATAGAGGCAAATATACAATATGAATTTAAGATCATGGTCAAACAAGGATAACATAAAAAAGGCAACATGTTGAGCCTCTCTACTAGCTACGTGTACCAAATTTCATTTAATTTCATATTGAATACAAAATGGCCGAAAAATGGCCATAATGGATTTTTTCAACATGTATGCAGTGATGGCCATATTTAAAATCGGAGTCGAATCTCTTCGAATTCAGGTGGCATCGTTGATGGGAACAACATGTCAGGTTTCAGTTTCATAATTGGTCAAGTGGCTTCTGAAGAGAAGGTGTTTACCAAAATGCAATTTAGGAGCATGGTCAAAGTGCAAAGGTGAAATAAAAGTCATAATTTAGAATGTCGCAAAATCGAAACAAATATCTTGAACCCCACAACTACACAAGTAAATTTAAATTTTATTCCATTTTGTAACACAAATGTCCGGTTAATGGTCAAAAAGAAGTTTTTTTCAAATATGGCTGCAGTCGCGGCCACATTGAACATTTTTTATTTGAACCTCTTGTACAAAGTGGGGTGTCATCATTGGTGAACAAGTATCTGAATTTTCAGCTTCATTGTTCAATTAGTTCCTGAGTAGTTCACTACCATCGACGAACGGCAGATCCCGGACAAACAGGACACGACATCAGCTCACTTGACCTTAATCAGGTGAGCTAATAATTATAATCAAGATTCATAAGTGTGTCGAAAATTAAATATTTTGCCATGATTATGCGCACCAAGAACATTAGTTCTAAATCACCCGTGCTTCTAGTGAGCTTTCAAAGTAATATCCATCCGAAACATAACCGGATAGGATAACCTATTTAAGATGACAACTTGCAGTGTATTAATCATGCAAACTATCGCTTGTTTATCAGGTACCCTTGATAGATCGTTCTGTGAAACAACGAGGGGCCACGAGCAACGAAGGGGATGCCCAGCCCTCCATAAATACAGAAATAAACGACCAGTTGCGTCCTTCATAACAAATAAACAAAATAAATAAACTTTTAAAAACAAAACGAAAACAATGTGATAGTTCTTGAATCGAATAACTTAAAAACAATCCAGGTCAGTCACGGAAGGCAGGCGCCCTCAACTCATCATGGGGCCTCTTGTCAACTCATCATGGGGCCTCTTGTCAACTCATCATGGAGCCTCTTGTCAACTCATCATGGGGCCTCTTGTCAACTCATCATGGGGCCTCTTCTCAACTCATCATGGGACCTCTTGTCAACTTATCATCGGGCCTCTTGTCAACTCATCATGGGGCCTCTTGTCAACTCATCATGGGGCCTCTTGTCAACTCATCATGGGGCCTCTTGTCAACTCCTCCTAGGGCCTCTTGTCAACTCATCATGGGGCTTCTTCTCAACTCATCATGGGGCCTCTTGTCAACTCATCATGGGGCCTCTTCTCAACTCATCATGGGGCCTCTTCTCAACTCATCATGGGCGCTCTTCTCAACTCCTCTTCTCAACTCATCATGATATTTTGCCGAGGGCTCCATTTTTGCACACACAAATGTGTTCTCTTATATTCTTATTCCAGAAACTACACAGTCTGAAGATTGGCATTAGGCTGAAAATATCCTTCATTCTGGAAACGGGATCAACGCCTTTATCTGAAATGATGGATAAAATGTCTTTCAGGACACATGATACAGGCGTTCAGTTGCACAAGAACATTAGTAAGTCTATGGTAGCTTTGACGTTATGAACATATATTGAGTGAAGGTTTATGCCACATTTAGCAGTAGTGGCTTACGAAAAAATGAAACAAATGCAATGTTTCTCATTGTTCTTTTCTCACAGCTCTCTAACAGTAGCTAGTATATAAACCAGCTTCTCACGGCTCAATGCATTATCTAGTGAATAAGCTGGATACTTACTGCCGTCCCTCTCTACAGTATCTAGTATATAAACCAGCTACTCATGGCTCACTACAGTATCTAGTGAATAAGCTGGATACTTACTGCCGTCCCTCTCTACAGTATCTAGTATATAAACCAGCTACTCACGGCTCACTGCAGTATCTAGTATATAAACCAGCTGCCATCGGCTCACTGCAGTATCTAGTATATAAACCAGCTACTCACAGCTCACTACAGTATCTAGTATATAAACCAGCTGCCCACAGCTCACTACAGTATCTTGTATATAAACCAGCTGCTCACAGCTCACTACAGTATCTAGTATATAAACCAGCTGCCCACAGCTCACTACAGTATCTTGTATATAAACCAGCTACTCACAGCTCACTACAGTATCTAGTATATAAACCAGCTGCCCACAGCTCACTACAGTATCTTGTATATAAACCAGCTGCTCACAGCTCAAAGCAGGTACTCAGCTCACATTCCTACTACAGTAACTAGTACATACGTTAGCCGATAACAGCCCATCACCTACAACAATAACTAGTACACAATGAAGATACTCACAGCTGAGATGCGCTGTCAGAGCTGATATGAGGAAGTCTCGCGAACCTTCAATTTTCTCTGGCTCCTTAAGGCCACTGCAATCTGGAATAAAACCGAACGCGCCTATAGAGCCTACGACAGTTACCTATACCAGTCATGTTAGTGAGTTACAATGATTCTCATTTCTGTCTTCGGAAGACTTTTCCAGAAGATATATTTCTCTGTTAATATGTACTTGGTCTGGGATTGTTTTGTTTTTAAAAATTGTGACCTGGAATGTTTGAAAACTTGCCTTATTCTAGATAAAGAAACTACTCAGAAGTATTCACTTTCCCAAGTGTTTGTTTGTTCGTTTGTTGTTTAACGCCGCACTCAGCAATATTCAAGCTATATGACGGCGGTCTCTGAATAATCGAGTCTGGACCAGACAGTCAGGTGATCATCGAGCATCGATCCATGCAGTTGGGAAACGATGACATGCATCAACCAAATCAGCGAGCCTGACCACCCGATCCCGTTAGTCGCCTATTACGACAAGCATAGTCACCCTTTACGGCAAGCATGGCTTGTTGAAGACCTATTGTACCCCGGAATCTTCACGGGTCTTTCCCATGGTGAGGGACCAAAACTCCCTGGTAGCACCCTGTCCGACACGACAGCGACCAGAATCATCTTGGTCAGCGTCAATCCTCTAAGGCTGAGAGTGTGCCCACTGCCTCTGTCTGGTGACAACAATCACGTTATCGCAAATATAACCCTCACCAGCAGCAATGACGTTGAGAGCCGAGATCATCGCTGCCTCCGTCCTGTCCATCTTCAGCTCGTGGACCTTCTCGGCCAGCTGGAAGGCAAGCTCTCTGTAGGAGTACAAAGGGTGCCATTCTGGCAGTTTCCAATGGAACATTTGAAAGAACGTTTTGGTCTTTGCGTCATACCATTCCTTTGCAGCAATGAGCAAGATGTTGGCAAAACACATATTCTGTACCACGAAATGACGGTCCTCCGGGTTCAGATCTTTAAAACCTGAAAAACGTGTTTCATCATTTATTGTCTTTTAAATCTTATTGTAAACATTTATTGAAATCAATCATTTGTAAATAATAAGTTTATATGGCCATTGTGGTTCGAAGATATAAGTAAATAAACCTGTTTTAAATAAATCTACATGAGCAAATTTAAAGGTCATAAAGAAAGTTATTCACATAGAAAACTTCTCTTCAATACAACTATTAATTTCGTAAATTTATTGGTGAAATGTATTGTAATTATTATATATTGCGTTGGACTTAATATAAAGGCATTTGTGAAGAAAAGGAAAGTCAATAACAGTTTTCAGTGAGTATTAGTTAAAGTCTTGTGAATGAGTGAGTGATTTGGGTTAAACGCCGCTTTTAACATTATTCCAGTTATATCACGGCGTGTCAGCTTAATGTGGGAGGAAAGCCCGAAGTGATGCAGGTCTCAGACGTTCACCGCTTCGCTGAAACCCACGAGCACGGGTATGGTGCTGACAAACCTAGAAACATAATCGGGGCGAACCGGGATTCGAACCCACAACCATAGGTTTCTGGCATGCCCAAGGGCCTGGTGAATGAGGATATAAGAGTTTCAAAACTCTTGTTTTATGTTATAATAGTTATATACTACTCATGGAAAGCTGACGATCACCCGATTCTGTCATATTACTATAGTTAATCTGTCGTGCGAGGGGACATATAAGCAGGATATTTGTAGTCGTATATTTCTCTCACCAGGAACTTTACTCATGAAAACGAGCTCCTCCTTCACGTAGGTCACAATACGGCGAACTGTATATTCCATAAATGGGAGATCACCGTACGCCGGCCATTCCTCAATCTGCAACAAAATGTTAACAGTGTTGTTTTCCAAACAATACAAAAAGTGGTTTGGTATTGCCATTTGGATTATATTCTGTAGTGCTAAAGTTATACTTTTGAAATAACGGAGGCTGCTTGCGCTTTCAAATGGTTATTTCTTGTATGTATAGATCCAACTATGTATATTCGCTGTATGCTAAATCATATATTTACATCATTACCTGACAAAAAAAATTTCAACATGTCGTCATGTCATACAATCGTAACAGAATATGTCTCAACAAGTGAATTTGGTCAGTATGCCAGTTGTACCATGAAAAGATGCAGTACTTAGACGTATACGATTTGTCTGTACCAAACAGTCCAGTGATTGATATCATGAGCATCGATCCACGCAATAAGGATCGATGGCATGCATCAACGAAGTCAGCGAGCCTGACCACCCGATCCCGTTGGTCGCCTTTTACGACAAGCATAGTCCCCTTTTACGGCAAGCATGGATTGCTGAAGACCTTTTCTATCCCGGATCTTCACGGGCCCGAATTTGAACCCACGGTCATATTTTTCTGGGACACCAGGTGCAACTCTGCATAGCGAATTGCGGGCCTTAGACCAGGCGACCCGTGGTCCCCAAGTGATTTAAGGAGAATACGATCGTTTTACTTACATGACTAAATCTCTCTTCTGGTGACAAATGACTCTCGCTGAGGTTCTTGAGGATCTCCATATACGCCTCAAGCATATCCTGCAGGGCCTTGTGCTGCGCACTGGACATCTGGATGTCTCTGGGAGTGGGAGGGACTCTACTCCAGTACTGACACACGCGGTCGACGGGGAACCGGTACTCGGTCTCTAGTTTGCTCGCCAGGTGTCGCTCCTCAGGAAGGATGAGGTGGGAGGATGGATCTGGTTTTGTTGAAAGAGGTAGGGTATGTGTGGCAAGGCCTCTGTGATAGTATTCCAACTGGTCCGAACAGGCTCTCATCTTGGCCTCGTGGTCGAACGGTCGAGGAAAGGAGTTACTGAAAGTGCACTTTGGGTCCGTGTGATGTGACCAATAATTGCTTGATTCAAGTCGCTGCCGAACATTCTTTAGAAGTTTTACAGAACCCAGGAAAAATGTGTTTAATTCCTTTATAATATTCCCGTCAATCTGATACAGTTTTATCTTGGGAGTATCAGATGTTGTGTTGTATAAAGGTGACTGAGGAACAAGATCAGTTTGTATAATGGCACTTCGAGAGTAATTTCCGCGCACAGGCAAAACATCTCCTGGTGAAAGACTCGGCTTATGGGTATGAACATGCATATTGGAGAGTTCAACACTGACATGTGGAGAAGCAGATTTCTCTGGGCATGTCTCTCTACGCCTGGTAGAATCGTCTGTACTTGAGGTATGAGTGTTACCCAATACATTGTGGTTCATTTCATGACTGCTAGTAAGGGGAGTGGTGTGAAAGGCAAATTTCCTTGAAGTAGGAGACCAACAGTGACTGCCTGTGCTTGATGATGCCACTGGAAAATGGGGAGCAGACTTTAGAGATCCATCCATCATTCCTCCAGATTCAGAATCTCTGGTTTGGGAAGGCGAATTTGATAAATCTAAAGGAATGTCCTCTGTTACCATTTGAATTGGAATATTTGGTGATGACGGTTCATCATACACTTGATGCTGCGTGTCAGGGGAGTCCATATGAATGTCAGCGGGTGAGCTAGCGTTACTGACTGAGTCACTGTCGCTCCTCCTTCTTCTCTTCGGGTCTGAAGCTTCATCATCTGAATCTGTGGTCTGAAGAAGAGAAGGATATGTCTGTGGAGAAGAAGGGCTGCGGGAATTTAAGTGAGGTGATGGATGAAATTGCTGGCTCTGATATCGAATGACCATCACATCTCTTCCATCTTCATTTGCTGCATTCACAAATGAAACATGGCAGGCATCGTGGTGAGGAAAGGCGTTTAGGTTATGGTGACCTTCAGTACCCATTTCCTTGGTCGTGTGACCCTTCCCCGAATCCGATGGATCTGTTATAACATGAGCCTGACAAGTAGGTGCAACTGAAAGATCATGTTCGACACTGTCAGCCACGACAGTCCCATCCTCCGTCCCAGCAGCACACATTGCTTTCTTAGCTTCATCCACTGTGAGAAGAGATCTGAGAATACACTTTTTGAGAGGCAGGGATCCTCTTGAAAGTTTTTGACATTGATCTGCGGTCTTTCCATCTCCACTCCCAGAAGAAGAGTCAGAATCAGGCGTAAAGGATCTTCTTCTTCCAATTGTTAGCATCCCACGTTCATCTTTCGGTGCTACTGCCACGTCGTCCAGTGAAGGAGACAACCTCTGCCCTGTCCCTTCTCTGTGTTCACAGAAGGTGTTCCTGTTGACCGTCGTATTTGACAGTCTGTTGGCAATGATCTTGGAAAGATCGTCGTGGTCTCTTCCAAGCTTCTTCGGACGACCCATCTTAATAGCTAAGGAAGAAAAAAGTTCCCTATAATTATTATCACCGCCATCTCCATCACCATTATGTTATTATACTTCCAGAAATGTGTAGAATTAAGGAAGATACGGATATTCATTTCTTATACCACCAGCCCTGGTATTGAGCTGACTGACCAAGGTAAATGTACGGGAAGAACCACGGCCAGCAAACCGTTCAGGATGAAATTCTACACTCTGTGGCGTCATAGACTACCATGCAACCATGTCCCTGATCTGCTAAATCAGCTGGCCACAGATTTTATACATCCAGATGCCCTTCAGACTAAGCAATATTTCATCTCCAAATCAAAATGAACATTATATAGATTTGCAAACTGATATGCATACACGACACATCCCGTTTTGCTCCTAGTTACAGGACGTGTAGGGACTTCAGTTGACATACTTGACACCTCAATACACCTAAATGACTGGGCCTTCCCTGAGGCCAAACATATTTGACGTTGTTTGTCCCATTTAATATACATTCTAACTTATCTTTAGACACCGTGAGTCTGAAATATTTCACTGGGCGCCTTTGGTAAACAACTAAAAGCTCATCCAAACTGAGCACATTTGTGTTTTGTATTTCAGCCAAGATGGCCACCGGCAGCCATATTTGTTTTTTCAACCTGCCTTGAGCAAATACTACATATGAAACGCCCTTAGGTTTGTTATTCTCTTGATATACGCTCACCTCCTCTAGACATGCCTACATTGAGGCACTTCTGGTAGCGACAGTACCGACAGTTGTTCCTGTTGCGGGGGTTCAGCAAACACGACATCGCCGCCTTACACACATAGGACTGATATTCAAGGAGACCACGCCGGAAGAATTTCTAAAAAGACAAAACAGTGAGTGAGTGAGTTGAGTTTAACGCCACTTTTAACAGTATTCCAGTTATATCGCGGCGTGTCAGCTTAATGTGGGAGGAAAGCCCGAAGTGATTCAGGTCTCAGACGTTTACCACTTCGGTGAAACCCACGAGCACGGGTATGGTGCTGACAAACCTAGAAACATAATCGGGGCGAACCGGGATTCGAACCCACAATCATAGGCTTCTGGCGTGCCCAAGTGACGCAACTGTGCACAGCGAATCGCCACGACTGGGCCACCCGACAAAACAGTCGAACTGAGTGATTGCCTGAGATGTCTGTTTCAGGTATATGGTTGTGCGGCCGCTAAAGTGTGACTACTTAATAAAACTGATATTATTGATATTTTGTTAGTTGTGATATTTACATCTAAAACAAAACAACCCGTGACAATCTGGGTTTTAATTGTTTTTTAGCAGTCCATGCTTGTCGTAAGAGACGACTAGCTGACTTGGTTGGTGCCTGTCATCGTATCCCAATTGCGTAATCGATGCTCATGATATCAATCACTGGATAGGTCCAGCTTCGATTATTAACAGGCATCCGTCATATAGCTGGAATATTGCTGTAGCGCGTTCAACAACAAACAAACGAGCTATGAAAAAATGAGTAAGTATGTTGTAACGCCACAGTCAGCAATATAAACTGCCGGGCAAAATATACACTTGAAGGTTGGGCTTAACAAAAAATTACAAACGTTGTCAAAACGTTACTAAGCTGAAACCGAAACACCGCAAACCAAAAGATAACTCTGCATCAACTACATCACCGTCGAATAATCGTTTCTTGTCTGTTACTATTTTTAGCCATCATCAAACGTGGGGGGCACGGGTGGCCCAGTCGTCTAAGGCGCCGCGATTCGCTGTGCGGAGTTGGGTCCCTTGGGTACGCCAGAAACCCAAAAAGTGTGGGTTCGAATCCCGGTTCGCCCCAATTATGTTTCTAGGTTTGTCAGCACCATACCCGTGCTCGTGGGTTTCACCGATGTGGTCTGAGACCTGCATCACTTCGGGCTTTCCCCCCACATCAAGCTGACACGCCGTGATATAACTGGAATACTGTTAAAAGCGGCGTTAAACCCAACTCACTCACTCACTCACTCATCAACCATGGGTATATACTTTCTTTGGCCCGGCATTTTATATCACGAATGACTACAATGCAAAACAATCGAGTCTGAACAAAGTAAACAGGTGAAAGCGTGAGAACCCAACCACACCATCGGGGCAATTACCCGCAATCAGGCATGGGGACATTTCACTGTTGAAATCAAGGAGTGAGTGAGTTGGGTTTAACGCCGCTTTTAACATTATTCCAGTTATATCACGGCGTGTCAGCTTATTGGGGAGGAAAGCCCGAAGTGATGCAGGTCTCTGACGTTTACCACTTCGGTGAAACCCACGAGCACGGGTATGGTGCTGACAAACCTAGAAACATAATCGGGGCGAACTGGGATTCGAGCCCACAATCATAGGTTTCTGGCGTGCCCAAGGGACGTAACTGTGCCCCCTTGGAATCAAGGAAAAAGAGACAGTTGCAATACTTAATACTGAGCGACACCATACAATACCAACCTTGCATCCCTCGCATGTGTAGACTCCAAAATGGATTCCGTTTGCAATGTCCCCGCACACCCGACAGAGAAGTTGGCCCTCGCCCGGTTCCACCGCTTCTGGTTTTTCTGTTGGATATAAGGACGTTACGTTAACAAGGACAACAATTTGATGTTGCATTAGCGTCTGGTTTAACAAATATGTAGTGACTTGTTCATTGGACTTAAGTTGAAGTCTCGCAAACAATTTGTTCGTCCAAATGATCTTTCCCTGGGTGAGTTACAGTAAACAGAGAGCCGCGATGCCTTTGGTCTAAATATCAGTGTTATATTTACTTAAAAGAGAATCGATACAGATCATTTCGGTTTCAATTAAAATACGTTAAATGTTATGTTGAATTAGAAAACTATTTCATTTAAATATCAATAACTACATAAAATAAATAAAAATATACGATTCCACAAAATAAAATTGAAAAATATATGGATCACTGAAAATTTGTGAGGACACCAGGTGTTCAAGAAAACGGTAAGCATGTCCTGCTCTACTGTCAATAATATCAAAATACCAAATGTTTCAAATAGACATGATTCCGAAACATTGGTTTACATTGCAAAGGGGCGGTCGGGTAGCCTAGTGGTTAAAGCCTTCGCTCGTCACGCCGAAGACCCGGGTTCGATTCCCGACATGGGTACAATGTGTGAAGCCCATTTCTGGTGTCCCCCGCCGTGATATTGCTGGAATATTGCTAAAAGCGGCGTAAAACCATACTCACTCACTCACATTGCCAAGTGCCTGTTGTGCTGTCCAGGTAAACAATTGGTTCATGTTCTTAGGATCATAAATAGACACAAAGTGCCAGCTTCATGAAAAACATAAGATTTTTAAGAAAGACTAAATATGCATATGCTATGGCCAAATATCGGAGCAGCACCCAAAATCAAACAATAAAGAAACAAATGACATACGAACAAAATGACAGCATATCAAATTCAATAATGATTCCAATAGAAACAGTTCAACATTTTTATGTGGCAAACATGAAGGCCATATTATAAATCGTTTCAGAATATTGTTTAAAGCTCCATGTCAACATAGCTGTTCGCATGTACCTTTGAGTTTTGCAGTTTTGCCCCTTGTTATGAATAATGCGCACACATTGTACAAGGACAAGACGGACACTACATTAAGGCAACTAGCGTGTCCTTTACGTGTTGCGGGTTCGGGCAGGGATGAGTCTTCGTGTATTTGACAGGGGGATGTGAAACGCGCGTTCCTGCCTACAACGTCCTACCTTTTCGTGACATTCCTGCTGCCAGACACTTCTTGTACCGACAGTGCTGGCATCTGTTGCGTCCCTGCTTGGAGACATCACAACGACTATCACACTGCGACACAAATACAGGTTCTCCCTCCTTCGTGCAGCGGATGAAGAAACTCTGCAATGATGTAAAAATGCTGATACAAAACGCCATCATGTCACGCGAGAAACACACAGCAGGGTGTCACGCTAACTTGTCACTCGAGCAAGACACAGATAGGTGTCACCTCAATTTGTGACTCGAGCAAAATACAGATAGGTATCACGTCAACGTGTCACTTGAGCAGCAGACAGATAGGTGTCACGCTAACTTGTCACTCGAGCAACACACAGTTAAATATCTCACCAACTAGTCTCTCGAGTAACATACAGACATATATCACACTAACTTGTCACTCGAGCAACACACAGGAGGTTGTCATGCTAACTTGTCACTCGAGCAACACACAGATAGGTGTCCTCCTAACTTGTCACTCGAGCAACGCACAGATAGGTTGCTGTAGATAACCGTATGCCCTAATCCGTGTGTCATCAGTTAGGACAGTTAGAAAGGTCTACCATAGAGCGCTGCAGGATGAACACCTCGGATAAGCTACAAATCATGGCATTATTTTGTATAAAACATACCTACTTATTTCTTTCTTTATCGCTTACTTCCAAATTCGCATACATTTTGATCGAGGGGAACAAAGGATTCCAGTTCCAAAACGAAAACCGGTCGCGGCCGCCATTTATGTATTCCATAGCTTCACCGGATTTTGGTCTACGATCTGGAATCCTATTCAAAGTTCGCTTTTGACGAAAGAAAGTATACCGATTTGGGAGATGCGAAATTCGTATGCAACAGAAGACTCCGAGCAAGGAGAAAACACACAAATCAATATGGATGACCTCACAAGTATCGTTTATACTGTAACTGATATTGATATGTGAAAAAGGCCACAGTGCTTGTTGTGAGGGGATACTAACGGGATCGGGTGGTCAGGCTCGCTGACGTGGTTGATGCATGTCATCGTATCCGAATAGCGTAGATCGATGCTCATGATGTCAATCACGGGACTGTCTAGTCCAGACTCGATTCTTTACTGACCGCCGTCATATAGCTGGAATATTGATAAGTGCGGCGTTAAACAACAAAACAATCAATCATATCAAACGATATGTGAAAAATAATATTTACCTTGCACGGGAGACAGACTAACGCACCAAAAAAATTTCCACTGGCCTTCTCACCACACACTTGGCACGGGCCACCTGAGGACGTTCGAGGAACCGAAAACACTGGTTTCACACCGTCACCTTTTCTTGATAAACTGTCAAAGTTAGCAAACACTGAACCAGTGTGGTTGTCATTCGTCACCTCCATTAATTGAAAAGACTCATTGTTGCCTGTACAGTTGGTTGTTTTGGACTGTATTGAAGGCACAAGATGTTTTCTTTCTATATCCGAACCATCTTGTCTAGCACCGACAGTCGTTGAAGTACCATGCGTGGGTATTCCGCCACCTGAAAGACCCGAGTTCTTGCCCCTCTCGTTGGATGCATTTATCTTCCACGGCGGAGCATCGCCATTGAAGGTATCACAGGACTTATTCAAAACTTGTTCATTGTCCAACCCTAGTCCACCAGATGAGGCATGTGGCGTTACATGTGCAAACTCATTATCATATGACCCCCCGTCATTATCAGATACCCGGGGTTGCATACAGCCCGGGACATGTGTCGGAGATAGGAGCACCAGGCTGGGGGAGTCCGACGGGCTATACCCACCCCTTGGAGAATCGACTGCCAGCGAACCATCAGGGCTTAACGAACAAGGAGAGACATGTCCACAGACCATCTCCTCATCCGTTGGCCACTGCATTGGCATACTTGATGGCAAAGGTTGAAGATGCTTGTACTAGCCTTAAGGGTCATCTAATAATGACACCAAAGTTAGAGCCAGACATGGAGAGAAAGGTAATTGTGTATCCATTCGTTGTCATCCCAAGAGAAAGTGAAGACGTCGACAATCAGACGGATCTGAAAGAGAGACACACCTTCGTCACATTCGGGCGTAATAACATAAAACATTAACATGACAAAATGACAGTAAAAAAGACGAGATAGGTTTATTGAGTGTGTAGAATACACACATTTATGTCCCATTGTTGGATCAAGTGCTTGCACCTGTCTACAGCACAGAAAATATATTCTATTATGTAAGGGAAAGTGCAGAGTCTCGTCTACACAATCTTGTGTGTCATTAATAATCTGAATTAATGTTCACGAGAATTGAAACACTTCACACTTGATGTGTGGTCTGATTTATAGGTACATGTATAACAGAAATGACACTTCGTTGAAGCCGTTTCCACCGACAATGTAAATGGGTGGTTTTAAACGGCAAACACAATTATTTGACTAAATGGAATCTCATAAGAACATGCATTCTATTTGTTTGATATATCTATAGCATATGAGTTCAGTTTTTTTATTAGCGTCTTCTCTGTACACATTTGAGTTGAATTCAAATGAAAAATTACGGTTCTGTTTTGGGGGAGCGCATATTTTGATATTTTATTACATATTGATTGAAGAAAAATGATGGTCAAGAAATGTGATTCGCCAAAATAAGTTACACATATTTTGTCACAAGAGTGAGTGAGTTGGGTTTAACGCCGCTTTTAACAGTATTCCAGTTATATCACGGCGTGTCAGCTTAATGTGGGGGGAAAGCCCGAAGTGATGCAGGTCTCAGACGTTTACCACTTCGGTGAAACCCACGAGCACGGGTATGGTGCTGACAAACCTAGAAACATAATCGGGGTGAACCGGGATTCGAACCCGCAATCATAGGTTTCTGGCGTGTCCAGGGGACCCAACTGTGCACAGCGAATCGCGGCGCCTTAGACGACTGGGCCACCCGTGCCCCCTTTGTCACAAGAAAAAGTAGTGACCTTTGTCTCCAAGACAACTCTCCACTTCCGGCGTGTATATTCGAAACGAAACAAGACACATGATGAATACGTGGTACAGTAAACTACGGTTATAACGAACTCAAAGGGACCTCTAATTTTAGATCGTCATAGCCGTAGTTCGTTATAAGCATATATACAGCATAACAACAGCAAATAGTCAGGACTAAAAAGTAAGTTTGTTATATCAGTCAGTTCGTTATAAGCGTGTTCGTTATAAACGTAGTTTACTGTACTTGTTTCTGGATATCAACCACTTAATTCTTTGTATCGATGATTCAGGGTGCCTTCATAAGATGACCCGTATTGAGTTGATATATTATACATACCGATACGTTAACATGAGGTTGGATTAATGTTCGCAAATAACAATATAATGACCTTCCTGAAATGTTATCCATACCGACATCGATCACTTGACAAAAAAGAAACTTCAAGAAACTATTGAAACACATAGAAGTCTGTCATAAACAGAGCACAATGTCAACTGAGAACTACAAATACCCTATGCCATTTGAAATAATATTAAGAAACTACTTCTTATCATCACGATCATGAGAAGTAAAAAATCATAAACCACTGAAAGTATTTTTTAACATTTGCCACTAATCATAACAAGATTTTGGAAATGAATAGAGACTACCATGTTTTCCGACTATGTCATTTCTATGTTATTTTAAATAATATGAAGAAAATCCTTTTTATCATCTTGATCATAAGAGTGAGTGAGTATGGTTTTACGCCGCTTTTAGCAATATTCCAGCAATATCACGGCGGGGGACACCAGAAATGGGCTTCACACATTGTACCCATGTCGGGAATCGAACCCGGGTCTTCGGCGTGACGAGCGAACGCTTTAACCACTAGGCTACCCGACCGCCCCTGATCATAAGAAGTAGAACATCATTAACCACTGAAGTTTAGTGCAAAATTTAGTTTCATAATTTTATCTAATTCATTATCAATCATTTACGTCGCAAGGATGAAATTTACAGTGCTAAATATGTTATCAATATTTTGGTAAAGAAAGTAGTTCAGTATTTTGTGAGATACACTATCACAATCAGGTAAATGCATGAGTCTGTATTCGCCATGGGTAATGGTTATAAACATTTCTTAGAACATAAGGGGCGCAGATCAATAATTATCTGTAACGAAGATGTATTAATGACCAAAATTAAAAGATTATTATCACGTTGAGGGACACACGTATGGGCGTCTTTTCATATCAACCCGTGTGGATACATATTCATATAGTTATATATTTAACGATTGCATATTGAATTCAATTTGAAAACTGAACTTTATAAATATATAGCATAACATCCAAGTTTAAACAACCATCAACAAATTTAAACAAATTTCGTTTTATTAATTTTTACATAATCAAAAGTAGGCCCAAATATAGAATATACTTTGATATTGAAGATAAGGTTTGTTAACCAAGACAAAATGATACGTTTCTATTTCTTCTTTAACTAGTTTCTTTTATAAATTTGAACTTCATTACTTACTTACTTATATTGGAGATTTAACGTGCGCTTTCCGACTTGCAAGCGTACGTCGCACACGGTGAACTTCATTTAAGGAGTGGAGATATATAATAGGGAGAAGGGGGTCATGAAAAATATATTTCAGACATAACCACAACTCTGTAAAAGTTGTTTGATCTTAAATGCTGCTAGATGCAGCCACTTAGTGTATTCCTGTCGGTAGGTTTATGGTAATTTAAAGCCATATTGGAAGGAGACAGGGCGGAGCTGGCGGTGTGAAGACAAACCCAGAGGAGAGAATGTGGAATCCGACATGCAGTATAAGGAGGTCAAGAGAGAATTCCGACAACGTCATAACTTTTGTGAAAAATCTGAAAGTGAGTTGGAAAAGACATGTGAAGCTGATGTAAATGCCTTTTATAAATCAGTTCGTAAGCTTTGCAAAAAACAAAACAAAAAAAAACTGGGAAAGAAAAACTTGAGTACGCCTGTTCTGACACCGGTGATATATGTAAACCTTTTGGGACTTGTTATGCTTATAATACCTTATAATTTGGAACACTTTCACTGAATCTATGCTTGCTGATATAAAACTTAGTCTTGACTATAATTACTGATTCAACGATATTTTATGTACCAATATTTCTGCTTGTGAAGTTGACTGTTTTACACGTAAACTTCCCTGGCCCAGACTGTATTTTTAATGAGAACAGTTTGTACGTGGGTGAACAAAAATTAACTGATCTTTTTAATGCTATGCTTAAGGGCCAGTGTGTCCAAACGCTTAAAAAGCAGGATATTACCAAAGAGCGGGTGACAAGTACTGTATCTGTATAGATATAAGACCTAAATCGTGGATAAGACATTAACCAACCGGGATAAGCATGAGAACCATGTGTGACGGAACCTATCTCTTATAGCTTGAGATACAAAAGAAGTTACTCCTTTAAGATTACAGATTAATTATTTCAGACAAGCCGCCACTCCGTAAGATTTGTCAGACCTTAAATACCCAATGACGTTTACCTTGTTTTTCGCACACATTCAACATATTATAACATTTGTGTGGTGATCCATAATATTAAATTTCAAAACATTTGAATTAAAGCGACAAAATCTTTTCCATATTCAAAACAAATCTCTGCCAAAAGGAGAGTCGATTGTACGATTCCGACTATATCATGAGCACGTGTTTATGAATCACTATCAAATAGTGTCTATCACTATCAAATACCAGGTGTTCGCCAAAGGTGTGAGAGCTCTTATATAACTTAATATACTTCTACTGCTAAAAACGGTTTACATCCATGAAGATGAACTACTTTAATAGCACTACGCATGTTTACACTCGACACACCAAACCTATACAAGAGTATAGGCCTTAAGTAACAAATGTTATATTTGAGATACCACGTTCTTTGTAAAGTACAGATTCTCGTACTTTTTGGGGTTGAGTCCCGTCCGGGATTCTCTAAGAAGTTTTAATACTCTAAGAAGAAATATCTTGAATTGTGGAGTAGTTTTATTAATATCTACATTTAATGTATAACCGAGTATTGCTGGAGTATTGCTAAAAGCGACGTAAAGCGACATCACACAACTCACAATAACCCGCAATGTAAGCCGCATATCACACGTTATAGCATGACATTATCCTGATATCATAAAATAGCTCAATCTTTTCTGGCTTGAGTTGAATATCATCTACACATTGTTACCGTATCTGGACAGCTAGCTGGCGTATAAACAAAAAGAACAAAACTGGACTTAAAATACATCCTTGTAGCACACCAACATTTCAGATATTTTTTTAAACAAACTGTCGCGTATACATTACCTCTTTGATAACATGACATTTTCCCATCTTGTTACTCTTGTAATGCGATTGACATTGATTTTTGAAAAAAGTACAGTGACTATTATATTGACATCCTTTTCAAACGTCGCTACGTAAGTGCATTCATCTTGAACGCGACATTAAACCCCATTTCACCACACGTCCTTTTCCAACAGTTATTCGAAGCGCTCGTAAACTACCCACGCTAGCCGTGCACAGGTATCGACGTCAGTATTAATTACTTAGAAACTGAACATTGGGATAATAATAATAATAATAATAATAATAATAATAATAATAATAATAATAATAATGTTTACGTTGCACATTGTGCATTATATGTCAGGCCAGTAAATCATGGTACATCCATACACTGTTTAAATTGATTATATATGTATTGTTTTAATTGCTTTCAAAATACCGCCCAGGGTATTGGATTGATTCTGAGTAGCTCAGTTTCAAGCCACCTCAAAACGTCAATAATATCCACCAGATTTGCTCTCGGCGAGCAGCTGTTGGGTAATAAAATCTTACCTTCACACTAAATATAAAAAAACCCCATGGAATGACATATGTTCTTCGTGCACTAAACATATGTGGGTTGAAAAATGACATATTTTCAATGACATTACATAGCCTGCACATTTAATTGTAATGTGGAAGATTTACAAATATAATCCTCCAAAACGCCACCAGTTTATGTTTTCATAACGTCGAGAGCTGTTGGAAATGTGC